GTTCATACTTTACCACCCTTGATTTGGCACAGGGTTTCCACCAAATCGAAGTCCACCCAGATTCTATAGAAAAGACAAGCTTTCACAGTTCCTAACGGTCATTTCGAGTACCTTAGAATGCCTTTCGGATTACGAAATGCACCAGCCACTTTCGAGAGAATGATGGATGAAATCCTAAGAGAATTCTTATACAAATCTTGTTTTGTCTATATGGACGACGTCATCATATTTTCCAAATCCCTCCAGGAACATTTAATTCATATTAAACAGATTTTCCCAAAAATTCCGAGAAGTTAACCTCAAGATTCAGCCCGATAATCCGAATTATTGAGTAAGTCAGTAGCGTTTCTAGGCCACGTCATAACACCTGAAGGCATAAAACCAAATCCTTCAAAAATTTCAGCCATTGAAAACTTTCCTATACCCAAGACGGTGAAAGAAATCAAAAGCTTTCTTGGTCTGGTAGGATACTACCGACGTTTCATTCCGAACTTTTCCAAAATCACATACCCCATGACACGCTGCACTAGAAAAGGTACTAAAATCGATATCGAAGATCCCAGATATATTGAATCTTTCGAGAATGTAATCCGCTCTCAGTAACTCCCCTATTCTCCAATACCCTGATTTTTCCCTACCATTTACCCTCACTACAGACGCTTCAAACATAGCGATCGGTTCTGTCCTTACACAGAAAGGAAATCCGATAGCCTATTATTCTCGCACCTAAATTCAGCAGAGAAAAATTATTCTACAATCGAAAAGAACTTCTTGCCATACTCGATTCCTGCAAAGTATTCCGCCCCTATGTATATGGTGTAAAATTTACTGTGGAAACAGATCACAACCCCTTAGTCTGGTTATACAAAATTAAGGAACCCAATTCTCGTCTTGTCCGATGGAAACTCAAACTTGAAGAGTACAATTTCGAAATTAAATACAAGAAAGGAAAGGAAAACGTCGTCGCCGATGCTTTAAGTCGCATCGAAATAAATATGCACGAATCCGAGTCTCTGTGTGCCAACCCTCCAGATGATGATGACGACTTTGATGTAGATGACTTCGTTAACCAATCTTTCGAAAAAGAAACTGGTCAATCAACCCAACATTCTTCTCATGAAAATCCCGTTGCTCTCGTCCCATTCTCAGAAGAACCTATTAATCATTTTTCAAATCAGATCATAATAAATCTAGGCACCGATTTTAACACCAAATACCGTCTGAAGTTCAAGTCCAAACACGAATATCTCATCACTCTTTCCGAAAAAGACTGGAAAACCGACATCAAGACTGCTCTCCATCAACTATAGCCCCCAATCAACGATACTACATTCTGACTGACAATCCCGATATCCAAAAATATATTTCGACTTCGTCCGTAATACTTATAACCAAAACAATCCAAATATTCTTCTGCACCAAACGAGTTCAAGATGTAGAGAGACCCGAAGACCAATTACGACATCTCCAAAATTACCATAAGGAAAATCACAATGGTATTCTCGAAACACTTAGTCATTTAAAATTACACTATTACTGGCCTAATATGCGTTCTACAATTTCAGAGCATATTAACCACTGCGATATTTGTCTTCGTAATAAATACGAGAGACACCCATATAAATTACCCCTAAAAGGTCCACTTCTAGGACAAAAGCCTTTCGACATCCTTCATATTGACACATTTTCCTGTAATCGAGAAACTTTCCTCACAATCATCGACTCTTTTTCCAAGTATGCCCAAGTGTACAGTATACCTGACAAATGAATACCACAATCCTTAGCAAATACGTCACTATTTCTGCCACCATAATTATCCTCGAAAAATAGTCTGCGACGAAGGTACCGAATTTTCAAATAACCTCTTCAAAGAATTTTTAAATCTTCACAAAATCGAGCTACACTTTACGACAGTGAACAACCCGAATTCCAATAGTCCTATCGAAAGATTCACTCTACTTTTACAGAAAAGCTCCGTGTTATGCACGACGAACGCCCCAAAGAATATTTTACTGATCTCGTTACACATTGTGTTTTAATTTACAATCAGTCCATCCATTCCGCCACAGGTTATTCACCTTTTTCTATCTTATATGGCCCATATGCAGAAGAATACTTTTTGACAATGACTTACCTATCTACGAAAATATACCAACGACATAAAGACGAACTTCGACCTTTCATTGACTCTCTTTATCGAAAACTCCACGATAAAGAAACAGCAATTTAAATAAACGCAATGAAAGACTACCCGAGATCACTCCTGCTCCAGCACCTGGCCAAACCATATATATTCAGAAGAATCCCCGAAATAAATTATCTGCACCTTACGTATCAGCCGAAACTACTTCTAGTAGCAATACCAAAATTCAGGCCGTTACTTCCAAAAATAGACCCACCAATACCCATCCTAGAAAAATCAAACGTCTAAGGAAAATACCCTTGTTACAGGATCGTCATCCTGACGAACCACAACCTGGCCCTTCAAGTGCACCTGATCCCGAATAATGGATACTATCGTGAACTGATAGGCCATGCTCAAGAGTTAAACCACTATCACCGACATATTATTACTGTTAACCTAACTGCTATCGACGCAACGCTTAAAATGACTCTAACTAACTTCCTATTCCTTAACAAGACTCTCACTACTTCCAACTACCGAATATTTGAACAATATAACCATCTCTATTCCGAGACACTTGACAATTTTTCATAAAATAATCCGACCCCGTCAAAGGCGAGGAATTGCTAACTTTTTGGGAACTTTTATTAATCAGTGACTGGCAACCTTGACGAAAACGATCGTATATTTTTGGAAAGGCACATCTTCAGTATCGAAAATAAACAAATCGTATAATCAATGTGCTTAATAATTCGACAAGTTATGCATCAGAAACAATAAAAAGATATAATATTCTGATTGAAACCATAAATAATAATACAGTGAGAATCACACAAGATATTAATTTTCTTAGAGATGAATTCCAGCAGTTTATTACTCTTCAAAGCGAAATTCGTAATATTGATCGTTTGAATCAATTCATTTTAAAGCTTATTAGAAGTATAAACCTATCTGCACTAGAACAACCGAACATAGAATTATTTTCACTTTCCGAAATCACTGACTTAGAAGAAAAGCTAAAATCTTTATATAAATCAAATTCTCTTTTATCAGATAATTCACATCCCTTTGAACTTATCGAAAATTCACGTTGTTCATTAATTACCACAAATACTCAGTTACTCATCCTTTTCAAAATCCCGATCCTTAATGATCACTCTTTCCGACTTTACCATATTTATCCCATACATAATGAAGAAACAGTGTACTACTGCCTCCTGCACTTTCTATGGAGATAATCGCTGGTATTCTACATGCACCGATGTAGGACCAAAAATCGTATGTCAACCCGCTTCCACCACAAGATGTCAGCTTCCCAGCTTAGAAAATTGTACCACTGCCAAGCTTTCCAGCCTGTCATCCACCAAACAAAGAAAAACCTGATCGTCAGTACAAATGAGCCAATCCAAATCGTTGAAAGATGTTCCCAGACTCACCGAAATATTAGTCAAGCAGCAATTGTTTATTCTTCATGCCCAATCGAAATTAATGGACAGATTTACAAGCACTACTTCAGAGCAAATCGAAGTTCCTGATATCATCCCTATAAAGATCCGCCCAAAGTTTAACTTACAGATCAACGAGTTGCAGCCACTCAAAGATGTACCACAGCTATCGGCCATACAGCCCTTACATCTAAGCCCTACAGTGACGTCTACACAACTTGGTCCATGGCAACCCTAATGCTCATCATCGTCACAGCGAGCATTTATTCGTCTTAAGAAAAGAAGAAGACTCCAGACGCTTTTCTTCAAGCCGAAAAATTTCCATTGCCGACTTGGAAAACCTAAAACTTCAAAAGTCCGAGGACGGACTTTCAGCTTAGCGAGGGAGGCGTTATAGGTCAAGAACCCGAGGCGTCAGCAAGACGACACCGCCAGTCGCAACGACAGCAGAAACCTTTATTAAAACTATTTTTCTTTTTATATTTTAATTCATTATCATTCCAACTTGTAACACGTTCATGTCTACAAAATAAATATTTTTTAAAAACTCCTTGTTTGGCTGAGAAACATAATTCGCGGCATTATACTGCAAGCGTCTGAGTGTGACTATTGGTTTCTCTTTGTCTATGTGGCTACATTCAGGACCTTGCATGCTATATGATAACTACCTAAGATGGCAGCTTTCTGAAGTGAGAGGTATAGTTTCTGCGGTAGATTTAGTTTCTCAATATATTTATGTAGATTCTTAGGTATTTCTCCTGTGGCTTCCGATCACTATTGGGATGACATCAACTTTTTCTTGATATTCAACATAGTTGTCAGGGGTCGTAGCGACAGACAGAACCATAGCGGACTTAATGCGTCCCCTTGGATATTCCCCTTTCTATTTAATGGTGCCTGCATCTACACTTTTTTGATTGGTGTTTAAAACAATTCTGGTTTTCCACTGAGACATAGCGTAGTTCAGTAAATTCAGTACATGGGGCTCGACTTATAAGCTGTACACCTCGGTTAGCCAGGAATGAGGCTGGGTATCAAACGCTTTTTGGTAGTCTATACGCTGTGTGCAAAGAGCCTTTTGAGCGTTTCGCGTGAGATGTGATGACCGTATCTATTATCAATTGTTCTTTACACCCTCTGGATCCTTTTCGGCAACCTTCTGCTCTTCGTCCAACAGGTTATTTCTTTCCAGGTGGCTGTATATCTTTTCCGATATGATGGACGTGAATATTTTATATATGTAGGAAGGCAGGTGATCGGCCTATATTTGGAAGGATCTTTTGAGGACACCTTCGTTTTTGGTAACAAATAAGTGATACCACTGGTCATGAATGGTGGTAGTTCTTCAGGGTTGGACAGCAGGTGAGTATAACATTTGGCTAGATGTTGATGACTGACCTTGAATTGTTTATACCAAAAAATTTTGTATTTTATCCTGTCCAGGTGCCTTCCAATTCGAGGTCTTGTTTATAGCCTTGGTTACTTGGTCGGTTTGTTACTTCCCATTCCAACATAGTCTGGAGGCTAGATGTAGACCTCTTCTCATCAAACAGCCATCTGGTATTGTTGTGAATCACAGGGTTCCCCCAGATTGATTCCCAAAACGTTTTCGTGGCCTCTGGTGTGGGGACCTTATTTTCTTTCAGGGTTTGAGGCTCGTGATCTTCTGACTCTAAATTTTTATAAAAGCTCCTTTCACTCCTGCTAAACTGACTATTGTGTTGACGTCTTGTGTTACTTTTCCTTATACCGTCGGAGCTTTTTAGCATAGCCTTGAGCTTTTGCTTAAGGTGATCCAGTATTTCTGTTGCTGTTGGGTTTTCGAGTCTTTGCTCCCTTCCAAGAATGGCCTTGGCTTTCTTAGTGACTGAGCTGCTGGGGTTCAAGCTTTGATTTTGTGTCAGAATTCCTATGTCCCGCCTGATACTATCGATTTTATTAGTAATTCGGCGCTGCCATGCTGGCGTGACTGAGACATTTTTAATTTGTGTGTCCGTGGAGATTTCTGCTTGTTTAGTGTTAGCACCGTTGCTGCTCCACTATAAATAAGGCTGTGTAGATTTTCGATGGTATATCAGTTGTTTATTTTGGAATCCAGAATTTTGTTGATTTCACTCAATATAGGTTTAGTCTTGTTATTATAAATTAGTTTGGAAAGTCTAGGTTCCATCATAGGGTCCACTCCATCATAAAGCAAATGAATTCCTTTCGAATTCCAGCTCAGAAGCAGCGGGTGGCCTGTTGGCCTCCGGTACTGGGGCCACTGGTTCATCGTCAGCATTGCGGAGATCAGCAGGTAAATTTATAGATAGTTTCTGACGCAACTTCACGCTTTATTTGTGTAATAATATTTGGTGGTAGGCGTCTATTTATAAATATAGATCTTCGCTGGTCTTATGACGAAGCATTGGAAATTTTCAGTTACCAATCTATTTAGTTCTCGGCTGTATGGAGTTTTTGGCGGTTTCTAGTCGGGTTAATCTGTAATAGCGGTTTCTAGTCGGGTTAATCTGTAATAGCAGCGAACCATGAATGCATTGATTTCTTCTGTCCACATTGTTCTTTGCCTACTGTGCCTTGTGACGTGGTGGGCATGGGCTCTGATGGCCCAGCAACACCGACATCTTGGCTTGGTACGATTGGTGGTGGTGTACTCGACTGGGTTGGTAATCTGGTTTGTTCCTTGTTCACTGCCGCGGTAGGTTGCAGGTAAATCTTCAAGACGGTTCCGACCCGGCTCCTACTGCGCCGGCCCGCCTGAGTATCTCTTATTTCTTGTTTTAAGAGCATTCAAATACACGTTCTAGGGGGTGCTAACCCATAGAGCGGTGGTGCTAGTTTTTGTCCACCCCGGGTATTTTATTTCCCCGGTACTCTCCATATCTGGAGAGCGTTTCCCAATTCGCACAGGGAGGCGCCCATGGGAGACTAGCAACTCCACACGGGTTATTATTATTATTATTATTATTATAATTATTATTATTATTATTATTATATTATTATTATTATATATTATTATTATATTATTATAACTATTATTATTATTATATTATAATTATTATTTTTTTTTTGACGGCGTCAACTTCTATTTATTAGCCGATATAATTTATTATTATTATTATTATTATTATTTTTTTTTTTAACCCACAGTGGCATCGACAGCTATGGTCATTAGCCACTTCCCTCCTGCCTCATGAGGTCATTAAGTTGAACCTAGCATCTCAGGGATAGATCTGAGAGTTGGATAATATATAGAACGCACACAATCACATACAGTATAAATAATTCATTGCATCATCCCATTTACTTAATTCAAGTATGGAGGTAAAACTGAGTGTTTACCATAGGTAAATTACTACAGCATTGAGTTTGTCCTGTTCCTAGTAAAATATTTGGTGTGCCAGACAGAATTCAGGTAAGTTGTGTTAACAATGCATTCTTATATAGGATTCATTGTTTTCTTGATACACATATACCCACATATACATATTTTTCGAGATATTTATGTTGGAGCTAATATTTTAAGATTTTTATATTGGAAGATTTTTTGTTTAGATTTTGTGTAGCATATTTGTCGATTTCATGAAGTTCAGTAAGTTGTTTATGTTTCTGTTGTTTGAAAAGCATTCTTTCAGGTTTCTTGGTATAAAACATTCTAGGCGCTTAGAGTTAAATTTTGGACATTCCAGGATGATGTGTTCTACGGTAAGAGTGCAGTGGCATTCATCGCATAGTATTGGGCTTCGCCCTAGGAGAAGATGTGATGAAGTTAGGTGAGTATGTCCAATCTTTATTCTTGTAAGACAAACTTGTTCTCGTCTAGTTAGGCCTGTCGGATATTTCCATTTCTCGATTGTAGGTTGTAGTATCCTCAAACGACTTATACTTTGGCTCCACTGATTTTGCCAACGTTGATGTATCTGGAGCTTGAAATGGGCTTTTAGGTCTTCAGGAAGTACGGTGCTGACGGGGGTTCCATTTTGGGTCGCGTCACGAGCTGCTGCATCTGCTAGTTCGTTGCCAGGAATATTTACATGCCCTGGAGTCCAAATAAATACGACTGTGTTCGAATTATGCGTTAGTTTATGGCACCGATTAATCACCTGCTGGACGAGGGGATTCTTAGCTTGTTGATTTCGTATAGATTGAAGGGCGGTCATTGAATCTGTACATATGAGGTATGTACTACACCGGGTTGTTTTGTCAAGCAAGTATTTAAGAGCTGCCGAGATGGCATACAATTCGGCTGTATATACGGAAGTAATAGGATTTAGACTATACTTAAAGGTTTCTGTTAGGGTGGTGAAAGCTGATCCTACGCCACTTTCATTTTTCGCTCCGTCTGTGTAGATGACTTCAGGTGTATTATATCTACTTATTATTTCATTGAATTTATTAGATAAACATATCCCGATGTTATGTTTTTTGGATAAATAGCGCAGTCTAGTACAATATTCGTCCTGGTGTCGATCCATGGTGGAGTTTCACTTGGTTTCTTAGTGTATATGTCAGGGATAACAGCGCCAAGGTCGTTTATAATCTCTGATAGTCTGACTCCGAATGGTCTTGTAATAGTAGGTCGGTTGTCGTATTCTTCACTGCTATCATTGTTGAAAATGATATCGTGGTTTGGGTGAGAGGGTTGAGCCCATATGTTAATTCCATAGTTAAGCATTAACTGCGATATGCGTAAATCAAGCGGTGGAGTATTCGCATCGCAATATATCGAGCTGGATGGACTAGTGCGAAACGCACCTAAGCACAGTCTTAATCCTTCACGATGGATGACTTCTAGGGTACGTATATGCGATCTTCTGGCAGCGGCAAAAGCTACAATACCATATTCCATTTTTGACATTACCAGCGATTTGTATAGCGTCAGTAGGACATCTCTGTCCGCGCCCCATTTTATGCTGGAGACGCATTTTATTACGTTAAGGGCTTTCTTGCATCTAACAGCTAATGACTCGATTTGTGGTTTCCACGTAAGTTTACGATCAAAGATTACTCCAGGATCCGGTGAGTTTCTTTGACTTGGATTAAGTTTCCTTCCAAGGTTAATGCAGGTTCCCTATGTGCTGTTCTTAGCCGACAAAAATGGATTACTGTAGTTTTTGATCTAGAAAAGTTAAGACCATTTCTTTTAGCAGTTTCAACCAGGTTGTCGATGGTCTCTTGAAGTTTACTTTCCATCGTGACCATTTCTTTTGCCGAGTAATATATCGTTAAATCATCCACATACATACATTTTCCAATGGATTCATCGATGCACTGGAGTAAGTTGTTGGCAATTATTACAAACAAGATTACGCTGAGGGTGGAGCCCTGAGGTATTCCGTTTTCTTGGAGGTACGTATGAGATACTTTGTCCCCCAGCCTTACCTTGAACGACCGGCTTGCAAGGAAGCTTGCAATGAATGTGGGCAGCCGTCCCCGAATTCCCCATTGATGGAGAGTTGATAGGACTCCATATCCCCAGGCGGTATCGTATGCCTTTTCTAGGTCAAAAGAGATAGCAATCAGATGGCTCCTGTTGGCAAAACTGTTCTGTATGGCTGTTTCCAAGTGGATAAGGTGGTCTACGGATGATCTGTGCTGCCTGAAACCTGTCTGAGAATTTATTAGCAGGTTTCGTGTCTCCAGTAACCACATTAATCTTCGACTTATCATTTTTTCTAGGATTTTGCTCAGACAACAGGTCAGGGATATTGGTCTGTAGCTCTCAGGCTTTGTTGAATCTTTGTCTGCTTTAGGAATAGGTATCACTATTGATTCTCTCCACTGATCTGGGTAAGTACCAGTTTGCCATATTTTATTAAACATTTCTAATATTGCTTGTTTTTCTGTTACAGGTAGGTTGCGTATCATGCAATAGTGGACGGAGTCCGGGCCAGCGGAAGAGTCGTTAGTCTCTTGAAGAGCATTTTCGAATTCGGTAAGAGTGAAATTGTTGTTATATTCCGATATGTTAGATTCACTAAAGTCAAGTGCATTGCTTTCAATTTCTAGTTCCTTTGATAGGCCCCAAGGCTTAGGTTGTCATTGGAACATATCTCTTCAAAGTGCATGCCTAGCGTGTTGGCTATCTCTGTAGCGCCCGTAACTTCTCTTCCTCCTCGTAACACTGGGGAAGGTGTGGCGAAGTGTTTGCCGGATATGGTTCTGATTTTCTTCCATACATCTGAGCTTGGGGTCTCTGAAGTGATGTCAGATACATATTTTTGCCAAGAATTTCTTTGGCCTGCTAACATCAATCTCCGTGCTCTAGCTCTGGCTTGTTTGAATTTCATCATATTTGCCAGAGTTGGGTTTCTTTTGAAGACATTGTAGTTATGCTTTTTGCCTTTAATGGCTTCTTCAATTTGTTGATCCCACCAGGGTACTATAGGTTTACCAGGTTGTATGTTTGCTTTAGGGATGCTTTCGGAAGCAGCATTCAATATACTGTCAGTAACGTTGCTGACGGTTTCAGATATTGAATCACCTATTCGCATTGGAGTCAAATGTTCTCGAAATTTCTCCCAATTTGCCTTTTTAACATTCCACCTTTCTGCAAGTGGAACACTTGTATTTTGTACGGCACAGTTAAGTAGTATTGGGAGATGGTCAGATGAGTGATCATCTAAAACTTCCCAATCAAAGAGATATGATACACTTGGGCTACAAAGTGCCAAGTCTATCGCACTGTAGTTGCACGACCTAGAGTTAAGAAATGTTCCTTCGCCTTTATTCAGCACCATTAAATTTGCTTCGTTAATTATATCTTCCACTATCCTCCCTCTGGTGTCCAGTTTTTGTGAGCCCCAAAGAGGGTTATGCGAGTTAAAATCTCCTACTAAGAGAAAGGGTTTGGGAAGCTGTTCACATATGCTTTTCAATTGATTATATTCCCAGTTTTGATTGGGTAGGTATATGTTGCATATGGTCAATTTTATAGGTACTATTAGTTGAACAGCAACAACCTGAAGCTCGGATGTGATGTTGACCTCTGTAAAGGGGATATTTACATCCAGAAATATTGCCACGCCGCCCTTGGCACGGATTTGCGGCGTATCATCCTTTCTTACACATTTGAACCCACGTAGCTGAAATTTCGTGGTTGGAGAGAAATGGGTCTCTTGAAGACAGAGACAAAAGGGCTTTTTCTCCTGCATGAGTAGTTTCAGTTCTGGATAGTGATTAACACACCCATTAATATTCCACTGGACGATGGATTGCATGAGTAGAGTAGATTTATTTATACATGCAAGGTTCAGGAGAAGATTAAGGATATTTACATATGTATATAGATGATGAGAGATAAATAAGCAAATAGGTGAGGGACTAAATAAATAAATAAATATATATAAATAGACAAATAAATAAGTAAATAAATTAATGAATAAACAAGTAAATAAATTGAAAAGTACATTATAAGTTTATCAAAATATCACAGTTAATTTTATCACAGAAGTATCACAGTCTCCGACAACTGCTCAGTTTCGGAGTTCTGTTGATTGGGACGCTCTGTATCATCACTCTGAACGGGTTGTTCCGACTGAAACAGTGCGGTTTTATTTGTTTTACGAGGTCTGCCTTTTTTCCAGCCTCGTGTACCCTTTTTTGCTTCTGGATCGTCAGTCTGAGACGAGGTGAGACTTTCATCAGAAAGTTCCGATCCATCTACAGGAGATGTAGCTTTTCTTTTAGACGAGTTAGAAGCATCTGATTGACTTCTAGTTCTAGACGCAATCCCATGACTTATCTTTGGCAATGGAGCGACAAATTGCTGGGGTGTGCTGCTGCATACTGCTTTGTTTTCTATGGCTTGCGAGATCGACGTTCTAATTATAGCTGTTAGACGTGGTATAATCTTCTCTATTATTTCATCGTCTGGGCGCTTCTGAGATGCTTGTGCATATGATAAATTTGCTTGCGGGGTAGGGATTACTACCTTCCTTCTAGCTTCAGCATAACTCATTTTCTCGATAGTAATAACTTTCTGTATAGCTGATTCTGTCTTATACCTTGGACATAATTTGGAGTTTGCTGCGTGAGGACCATTGCAGTTCACACACTTTATGGGCTGATCACAAGATTTTCCAGTGTGTATTTTCTTACCGCAAATGCAGATTTGTTCCTCTTGGCATGATATCGAGGTATGGCCGTACCGTTGACATTTGAAACAGCGTACAGGGGGTGGGATATATTGACGAACAGGTAGTTTGTACATCGCGCAACTAAGTCTCTGTGGTATGTTCGGAGAATTGAATGTAATTATGTGGCCTGGAGTGTCTTGTAGTTCATTATCCTTCTTTACTTTTATACGTTGTACCTTTATTACTCCTTCAGATTTTAGCTCATCCATAATTTCAGCTTCGGAACAGTTTAATAAATCCCTGCAGTAGATTACGCCTCTGCTAGAATTCAGAGAGGCATGTGGTTCAACGGTAACAGGAAAACTAGCAAAACTTTCTACTTCAACAATCGATATGTTTGACCATCTGTTCTTGTTTCAACTAGCAGCCCAGCTTTAATTTTCTTCACAGAATTGGATTCTCCAATCAAGCCGCATAACGTCTTTGATATCAGAAATGGACTTACTTTCATGAAATTATCGCCATCTATTCTCTTTATTACCAGGAATCGGGGGGTAGGACCAGCCGACCCCTTGGTAATATTACTGTGTCCAGTGGTAGCTCTGCATGTAGCTCCACCTTCGCTGTTTTTGCCTACA